TATTTTTGGTTTAATATTATAAATTTTATAAAGATAATAATTAAGTATTCTGTTAGAATTTAATGATTATACTAATTATATTTTACATTTTTAATATTTAAAATGAGATGTTTATCATGTATTTAATTGTGTTTATCTGCAGTTAATTACACGAATTCAGATATGAGATTAAATCGGATAGGGATGGAATGAACGGGTTTAAGAATTTTTAAGAGTTTTAGTCAAATGCTTTATAATATAATATATATATATATATATATATATATAACCGAATAAATTCTAAGTTTCATTAAGCTCATAAACTATTAACAAATAAGATTAAATCATAGTTTTCAAATGAAAAAAATTCCCTTGTTATTACTTAGGTTCAAATGTGGTAACTCTAGGCTACCTGTAAAACATGTGGTTACCCTAAAATTAATCGGGATGCATAACAGATTGGATATTCAGATTAATTAAAAAAATTTGTAGTTTTCAAATGAAAAAAAGAAAAGAACGGATATCCCTATTTTCCACTAAATCAAGACGATGCAGATTTTATTACCATTTTTTATAGTTAATATATGGTATTAATATTATAATTCACAAGTTTAAATCTCCTTAAATGTTTTTTATTTTTATTTTTTTGATAATAGTAGAAAAACAATCACTTGAACACGTTAGTATGAAATAACTCTTTATATATCAATTTTAAAAATCGTAGTTTTTATAATTAATATTTATTTTATATTTATATTATACAGTTATTTTGTGCCTCCACTCCGATTATTTTGGGTCCGACTCTGTTAGTAGAATCCATTTTTCTTCACCATAGAGATTAGCACATTATGTTGGGATTTCATAATGTCGAAGCATGGTAAGTTTTTGGCATTATATACTACATTTATTGGTTTACGTTCATCTTGCTTATTTGGACTTAGGGTTTCAATCGATGTAATAATAAGGTACCTAGAAAATTCAATAGGGTCTGAAAAAGATAAGATATAAACATACCATATTTCCATCATAAGGGTAGAGTTCCTTGAATACCTGCAACTTTCAAAAGATTTCAAGACTTGTGCCTTTTAAACTTGATTTATGTCCAACTCATTATCCTCTATCCTGTAAGCAAGTTATCTCATCATTTTTAAGGATAAATCACGAGGTTTTGATCAAACAGGTAGTTTTTCAATCCAAACTCAAATAAAACTTTATTTTTAACTTAACAAATTATACCTGCTTTCCTCTAAATCTCAGGAGGTCAAGAGCCAGACGTGGGAAGTGTGTAGGAGTATTTTTCGTATTATATACTTCAAAAAAGAAAATGGTTCAAATTTGAATACAGACAGGAAAGACGATCCCACATTAAGAAATCGTAGTCGTTTGCAACTTGTTTCCGGCTCCCAATACTCTTTTAGTTTGTTTAACTACCTTTTCTCGTCCTTCAATCACTCTCACCTTATATTTTTCTTTCCATACCTCAAAGAATAAGGTTGGAAAACAATGTCCTGAACCAATAAGCCAAAGTATAGCATTTTAGAGGTATCATGATGTAGACACAACATACACACACACACACACACACACACACACATATATATATATATATATATATATATATAAGAAGCAGGATATAAATCTCTGCATACCGTTGGTCAGATGAAGATGAACAAGCTTCCCGACTCTTAAACTATAACAATCATCCATCTTAGAAGCTTCGGTTGTCAACTCTTTACGTTTTTAGTCCATGGTTTATTGAAAATTGTTATTTTTGTCCATGGTTTATTGAAAATTGTTATTTTTGTCCTTATAGTTTCGAAATTACGATTTTAGTTATGTTATCAACTCCCTTAGCTTTTCATGACTAAGAGTCTGTCTATTAAATGTTTTTAGAATCTTACCTGGTAAGAACAATGACAACGATCGAGAGTGTCTTACTTGGTAAGTGATGATGACGACTCTTACCTGATAAGCGCTTACCAAATAAAAAATTGCATATGATTTTAATAATAATTGGATAAGAAGTAGGTAAACGACTCCTTACTCCATACAAAAGAAGGGGCATTAGTTATAGTCTTTGTAATTTTCTATTAAAAATAAAAATAATAGAGAAACCAACGTCCATCTCACCTCCCCGTCTCCGACGAACCAATCCCCATCTCACTCGTGATTTCACCCTTAAAATCAAAATCAAGTTCACACCGCTTGAAGTCATTTGCATCCTGTATTATTCTATTAAGCTTTGCAGAGAAAAAAGAAGATGCCCACTTCACCAAGGGTAGATCCAAGCTTTAAACACTAGGGCCCGGGGGAAATCCCACTAGTCAAAAATCAAAAACCTTTATTGATTAGCTTAATTTTTTTTATTTTCATCTTCGTCTTACATGATTTTTCCCCAGTTTCATATAACCATATGCTTTCCTCCTCCAAGTCCCATCCAACATGCTCCCACCCCATTAATTTCCTGGACCCGCCACTGCAATTCACAACAAAAACTTAGTCTTATGTAATCTGTATGGAGGCCCCCGAAAAAGAACAAAGAACACAGGCCATAGATGGCGATCACTTGTCAAAATCAAAAAATAAATTAAAAAAATAAGCGTCGAGTATGATTTTGGCATTAAAAATTCAGTATTAATTGTTATTAAACAAGAATCCAACCTTTATTAGGTAGATCTCAAAATACAAAAACCTTCCAAAGGCTAAGAACAATAAACTATAGAGTTTTAATGTGCATTTATTACAATTTTATTTTAAAAAATATTCCATTGCCGGGAATCGAACCCGGGTCTCCTGGGTGAAAGCCAGATATCCTGACCGCTGGACGACAATGGAACTTATATTTGGATCGCAATAAAACAATTTATATACTTCCATAATTAATTTCAATGTTTTATTATATTTGTATGGTTTTGAGAAAAAATGATAATGATTTTATTTTTTTGAATAAAATATAAATGTGGAGATGTATAGAAATTTGAAAAAAGTTATATCGATATTAGTATCAGATTAAGTATTTTAAAGTTTTCGTTTTTTTTGTAATTTCGATAATTTATTTTTTATTATAATTTAATTTAGGTTTAATAACGAAAAAATTTATTTTTGGTTTAATAATACAATTTTTTTTATAAAGATAATAATTAAGTGTGATGTTAGAAGTTAATGATTATCGTAATTACATTTAAAAAAAATTATATTTAAAATGATATGTTTTATGTTGTATTTGATTATGTTTATCTGCAGTTAGTTATATGAATTTAAATATGAAGCTTTAATTTATTTGTAAATTGTAATCTTAAATTTTAAGTAATTTGCATCAATAAACTGTAGTTTTATACATAAAAAATAGTTTTTTTAAGAATTTTTGTCAAAATATTTTATAATATAACTAGAAAGGTACTCGCGTAATGTAACGGGATACATCTCGTTTTAATGTTTCGTTTACTATCTGTTTCAATCGATGTTATAACACAGTTTTATGTGGTTTTGAGAAAACAATAATGTTTTTATTTTTGAATAAAATATAAATTTGAATATTTCATAAAATTTAAAAAATATATTTATACTAGTATCAAATTAACTATTTAAAAGTTGTTGTTTTTAATTCAAATTTTGTGTTATAATTTATTTTAGGTTTAATAACGGAATAACTTATTTTTTATTTAATAATATTTTTTTTGTAAAAATAATAATTAAGTATTATGTTAGAACTTAATAATTATTTTAATTAGATTTTAAATTTTTTATATTTAAAGTTAGATGTTTATGTTATATTTGATTATGTTTATTTGTAGTTCATTATACGAATTTAAATACAAGGCTTTAATAAGTTATACATATGCATATTTCATTTGTAATCTTAAATTTTAAGTAATATGCATCAATAAATAATATTTCATATAAAAATGAATTTTAAGAGTTTTTTTTGAAGTATAAATATAGATAAATATTTATTTCATTAGAAAATTGGAAAAGAACTAGAAATTAATATACATGAGTTGTAGTGAAGCTGAAAGGTGTGATGCACCCAACACAGTAGCATACGGTGAACGTGAGCCATTTTCTCGTTAATTAATTTGATACCTACGGTGGCCGTTGAACTCACCGGAAAATTCAGTACTTCTCCGGCTTCAATGGCTCGTCCTTTTTTCTTACTCTACTCACTCTCCGACTCACTTAGAAGCTTGTTCTTCATACCTACAGCCTTGGCTCTCACCACTTCTCTCTTCATTCTCTTTTACATCTCATCAACCTCTAATCTCTTCACCCCTCATCTTCACCGCCATTCTCGTCTCCATTTCCTTCAAAACCCTAGCGGCCTTTCTCCCAATTTGCAAAGTCAACCTCAATCTACTCTCGATTTTGACTCCTCCACCCCTAAATTGGGGGTCACGGTGGATCACGGCGGAGATGCAAAACCTTTACGCAGCTCAAATGGTAAGAATATGTTTCATACTTTACGTTTTTAAACGTTTCAGGTTCCATGTAGATGATAAGAACATGTACCCACCATTAACAAATGGTATATAAGCTTAAGACCTGTTTATTAGCAGCTTAACGAGCTAAATGGGGCTGTTTGGCAATTGCTAAATGGTTTGGTGTAGAGAATGATTAAGTGGTTATTGATTAAGAGGCTATCATGATAAAATACAAAATGAAATATAATTGTTTGGTAATTGTGTAGGGAGATCCAGAATACAAGAGGGTTTTAGAACCATTAAGAGATTGACTTTTTTTTTTGCCAAACAAGATTCACCTCTTAAGGATTCGGAGGTTGCCTCTTAATGGAACTATATCAAGAGGTAAACCATGAGACTTGCAGCTTATTCAGTCAATATAATGATACATTGACTGAATATGCTTCCAGTGGGTAGATTGTGCAAAAAGTCAGGTTTTCCATCTATGAAAAATCCTCTAAACGAAAACCGTCTTAATCTCTAAAGACAGATTAATCACACAAAAAACTTATGACTTAATGGAAACCAACCAAACAGCTCCTAAGGCGGCTTAATTTAGAAGTCATAGATGATTCGTTATGAATATCGGACACAACATTCATTAGGAATATTTTATTCATTATGAATAATGTGGTTCCGGCTCCTAAATGAACCTCGACTATAACCTTAAATGATATTTTAATTAAATTCATCACCTCTGTTATTGTTAAAGGAAAAAACGGGTTCATGTTCTTTAATTAAATTTCAATAATTTCCGGTTAGTTGGAAGATGATCGATGAACGTTTATGTTCTTTGGTTGATATCCAGGAAGAACTGTGAATGTCTTCCATGATCATGACATCTTTATAGAAGACTACATCAAAATGAACGAAAGTTTCAAGATTTACGTGTACCCTCATCCTAGAAACCACCCGTTCGCTAATGTGTTACTGCCGGTAGATTTTGAACCCGAAGGCAACTATGCTAGCGAAAGTTTCTTCAAGAAAGCGCTCAACAATAGTCATTTCGTGACCAAAGATCCCACCGAAGCCGATCTCTTTTATCTTCCCTTTTCGATTGCAAGATTAAGGCACGATCCAAGGGTGGGAATTGATGGAATCCAAGACTTCATCAAAGATTACATTTTTAATATCAGCCATAAATACCCGTATTGGAATCGGACTGGTGGTGCTGACCATTTCTATGTTTCTTGCCATTCAATCAGTCGGTCTGCCGTTAGGAAAGCAGAGGAAATCAGACTCAACGCCATTCAAGTTGTGTGTTCTTCGAGCTACTATGTATCTACGTATGTTCCTCATAAAGATGCATCCTTGCCACAAATTTGGCCTCGGCTAGAAGGTGATCCCCACAATGTTACATCATCCGTAAGGTAACATCTTTTCTCTGTCGGAAGATCTTGAATTTAAAAAGCATTTATCAAGAGGTCATTTGGTTGGTTTTCTATTAAGTCATGTATGAATAAAGCTGCTGGTGTGGATTAATTTGTTTGTATAGATTGTGAAGGTTTTTCATAGATGAAAGGAGCGTGTTTGTGTTTTTTAATGGGGGTTCGGGAAAAAACTTGGCTTTTTGCCCCAGCTTACTGAATAGCCACTTTCTATATCATTAAACCACTATCAAACAAGTCACTGACCGAATAAGCGAGCGAGTCTGAAGGCTTTTGTTTGGGAGGATTTTTTCATAGATGAAAGGAGCGTGTTTTTTAATGGAGAGGGACAAGTTTGGGAAAAACTTGGCTTTCTGCATAAAGCTCTGTCCCTTAAAAGCTTACCGAATAAGCCACTTTCTATATCATTAAGCCACTACCAAAAAAGTCATGCATAGCTGACTGAATAAACAGTGAGCCTGAAGGTTTTTGTTTGGGAGGGTCTTTTCATAGATGAAAGGAGCGTGTTTTTAATGGGGAGGGACAGGTTTGGAAAAAACTTGGTCTTTTGCATAAAGCTCCCCTTAAAAGCTTACTGAATAAGGCATGTTCTATATCATTAAGCCACTACCAAACAGTCACTTATAGCTGATCCAATAAGCAGCGAGTCTCATTAAGCTCATAACAAACATGCCCCCATTTCTAGCACACAAATGAATAGATTCTCAAGAAGTAACCTGAATAGACTCTCAAAAAAATGTATCTTATTCTCATCGGAAAATTTTGCAGGAAAAAGCTAGCTTTCTTTGCAGGATCTATGAATTCCCCTGTTCGTGAAAGGCTTATCAAAGCATGGCAGAATGACACGGAGATTTCTGTGCATTCTGGTCACCTAAACACGCCTTATGAAGAGGCGCTTCTCGACAGCAAATTCTGTCTCCATGTCAAGGGATTTGAGGTAAACACAGCCCGCATTGGTGATGCATTGCATCACGGATGTATCCCCACAATCATCGCGAACCACTATGATCTTCCATTTGCAGACATATTAAACTGGAAAAGCTTCTCAATAATCATTGCCACATCGGACATCCTGTCCCTACAGAAGATCCTCACAAGTATAAGCACCGATGAGTATGCCCAGCTGCACAACAACGTACTCGAGGTTAGAAAACATTTCCAGTGGCATGTTATTCCTGTTGGTTTTGACGCGTTTTACATGGTTATGTATGAATTATGGCTTCGCCGAAGCTCTGTTAGGGTTCCATTGAGTTAGAGGTTGATATATAATGGTATTGGCATGATTCTTGCATATCTTGAGTCATTGTGAATATGAGTTAAAACATGACATCTTTAGCTCACCCGCTTCTATGTCATTTGACGAAACTTCCCGGGTAAAATCTCCAGGATCTGTCCATTTTGGTTCGTGAACCCCATTTTTAGCCAAAAACCCTAAACAGTAAGTATAGTTGAACGAGGGTTATTTAGCTAAATGACTTACAGACAAACATTCTTTAAATCCATGATCTTCTGACAGGTTTTTAGACATTCTTGTGTATGGAAGTGACATTCTCAAACTGATCAGAAGGTCATGGATTTAAAAAATACTGACAGAAGGGCATCAAGGCCAAGGACCCAATGAAGGCATACAGACATCTGATGATCAATATCATATGAACACTCATTTTGTACAAGAATAAGGTTATATGATGTTTTGTAAGTGTATATACAATGACCCTATTGGAAGAGCTGAACTATATCCGTTGCTCCCAAGTCACCGGAATGATTTGGTAAAGATAGGAGGCGTTTCTATTCTGCAAGGATGTTCACCTTCTTAGCCGTTAAGCTAAAATGCCATTGGTACTTTCCCATGGCTTGAATACGCCAACAAGAACGGATATGATGACTATGAGCAAAACTATAATAGCCAAGCACATCCATTTCCTTGAGTTCTTCTTTAATTTCTTCGCGTTCTGAAGGGCTCTGTTCCCACTTTGCACATGATCTACCGCACTCGACACCTGTATCGCATGCCGTTCACAAGTTATCAACGAAGTAAAGAAGATGGCTGTAGAATTTAAATAGTGTCGTTATGGCCTTTTACGACGATATGAAAGTATATTTAGTTACATGTGTCTCTATGTTGTCTAGCATTTCCCCTTGAGAATCCACTAAAATAGCCAAATCTGAAAATATCTGCAGGAGTATCATCAGAAAGTAAAGTAAAAGGTTATTGAAGTAATCTGCAATGCATATAAAGAATTACGAATTTGGTCCCTAGACTATATGTTAACTTGCAGTTGTAGTCCATTGACTTCTTTTTCTTGCACTGTTAGTCCGAAATAGTCATTTTCTTATCGTTTTGGTGTCGATATAGCCATACCTGTTGCAACTCGAGAAGCTTCCTTTCTACTTCAATTGCTGCGCTGTGGCGCTCGTGGATTTCTGCAAGTGTGTCAACCACCTACGGGTACACCCGAAGGCGTAATCTTATGTGAGAAATTGCCATAATACGCACACGAAACCAACTATTGTACTTGTCTTTTAGTTGTAAACCAAGAATTACTCTTGCAAAAAGAACAAATATAATTTGCAAGAAAAACCATCTCACTTCCTCATTGTTACAAAGGCCAAAGTGTGTGTTTCTATGCATTTTCACAAAAAACAATTATTTGTTAATCCAAGTAGAATGATTCAAAAAGTAAATAACTCACTCATCAAGATATTCTTTGAGGATGCATTTGGTACGCAAACATGACAGAACTGGATGGGTGAGAGTGAGACAGGCAAGTGAAAGAATTGTGCAAGGTTTTCGGGATGTAATTCGACATTGGTAGTACTTTAGTAATTTACTAATTTTGTCTTCGTCGTCCTGATTCTTGTCCCACCGATTCTAGTGGAACAAAAAAAATGCATTTTTGGTCCACCTCAGTCATGTCTTGTCCCGGTCTTTAATGTCACGCCAAATGTGGGACAACCAGTTTTTATCCTGTTCTCATGTACCAATCATACCCTGAGTGAACTTGCATATAGAGGAGCAGAGAAGAAAAGGGTTGAAAACCAACCTGGCCTCGTCCCTGTTCCTGAATTGCTTTTTGGAAAATTTGTTCGCTATTCCCTGTCTCTATTAGTCGATCAATTGTCTAGTGAAGAGAGCAAGGTATAGTCAGCATGCTTCCTGTTTATACTGTTTTCAAGATAAGTTCGAGGATGGAAGATACCTCACCTCTTCATCAGCTCTGGTTCCCGTTACTAACAACAATTAAACAAAACAGTAACATTTTAGTCAGACATTATGAAAGCATCAAGTCCTGCAGATGTTAAGGTAAGTTCAATACCTGTAAACACCCGTCTCTCAATGACCTCACGATGTTCTTGATGTATGCTTTCTCTTAACGTCTGATAAACGTGCTGAAAGATTAGAAATTTACGCAAAAGATCAAAAGCAGAAGATCAAGAAGTATAGCCACATTTGAACTACCTGAAATTCCTTCACCCTATCTTTAAATTTCTTCTTCAAGGCACTGCAAATGAAGATCGTTCTCAACACAGAATAAATGAGTCTTCCATTCATCAAAACTATGATCAAAGGGTAGTAAATATGATATATTACAGTGTAGTTGCTGTTCTTGATCGGTCTACTCCAGTTCCTTGCCCACATCCAGGCTTTTGTCTGTTGATCAAGTTCTAACTCCAAAATCAAAGAATCTAGGACCTATTAGTTAAAGACTCGAGATGTTGAGGATTGAGATTAATATAACTGTTTCATAGGTCTAACCTCCTTATCGAGTTCTTCAATTTTGGCTTTAATAAAACGAGCAACCCTTCCAACCTCATCAACATCGTTCTCCATTCGCTGCTTGATTGCTGCAAATCGACAATATTGAATTACAAGTCTTTTTTATCTAAAATCTTCAACAATCTTTGAAGGTTACCTTTCATGGCAGCAGCCTTGGTTACGGATCTCGATTCCTCATGAGCATCCTGCATAGATTGCTTATAAGAAAACATTGAAATAAAGTAAAACTAATGATGATCAGATCCCACCTGGAAAGGAGGTTCAGAAAGAGTCCTTCAAATGAAGTTTGTGTGTGTGAATAAGAGGAGATACCTGTAGTTTTTTCAGAAGTTTATTAAGCACGTCGAATTCTTTCTCGATGTGTTGAACCTAATAAATGGAAGAATTTGATAAGATTTATGAGTTAACTTGCTTAATCAAGTTAAAGATAACAGAAGTTAGAATTCACCATCTTAAAATGATCATCCAGTTCTAATTCTCCAGATTGTGAAGCATGTTGTATTCCCATTTCAATATCTCCACCGCCATGACCAGATCTTCGAGGGCTACCAAACGACGCCTACAAATCATCGTCCAGTTAATGAACCAGTAATCAGATACTCCAAAATGGATTACGTTTCGAACCAATTTTACATTCAATTAGCTTAAAAAATAATTCAGTTTTCCTTTTCATTTGACAACCAACGGGAGTACGATTCGAACTCAAACACTTGGTGAACAAGCTCCGACCACTTAACACAAGTAATTTTCCCAATTTCAATCCGTCTCTTTGATTAAATTCCTAGGTTCGTATCTCGTTTGCTACAACGATAAATATCGTTTTACTTATTCGATCATATATGTATATGTGCATTGATATAGACCGATCAAGATCAATGTCAACAAAATGGATCCAAGAGATCGGTTCCAAACATCACGGAAACAAAAGTAAAAACGTGAGATGTAAGACGAATAATTTCCGCAACTATAAACAATGCACAAATTGTTGCTCATAAATTGTAATCCTCAATAATAAAACTCGAATCGTTATGAAGAAACTTACAGATAAGAGGTCGTTCATGTTGAATTGGAGAGATTGATATGGTTTTGTTGTTGTGTGATTGAAATTGGGGGTGGGTTTATGTTTATCGGAAGAAAGAATGAACAGAAGACATGCAAAAGACACACCACAAGAAGGAAGAAGGACCGTGAACGCAGGCTGTTGCTCATTTTTCACTTATTTTTTGTATTATATAAATTATATTTGTTGATGTATTTATGTGTGTAAATAAAAATAATATAAATAATAAAAAAAATGAGAGGTTAAATGAAATTTATATTTTATTAATATATCTTTAAAATAAAGCATAATTCTCTTTTAAAATCTCAAATAGCTCATTCTTTACGTTTTATTCATTCTTTAAATTTATTTATTATATTTTATCATTTCTAAATTTTCATTTTACTGTTTTAAAATATTATTTTTATACGTTTTCTATGTTCTGATTAATTTATTAAATATTAATAATAAAAAATAATATAAAAAAGTTATGAAATTAATAAACTTTATATTTTAAACGAAAATTTCAACTATATATTTTGTTATAAATAATTATTTATTCTATTATAATTACATAAATCAATCATAATATAAAAAGTATATAAACAACTCATTAAGGATAAATTAGTCATTTCATAAGTCCTATTTTGTTCAGTTCCATTTTATCAAACGCTGAAAAATTGAATTATCCTGTCCTGTCCCCTGTCCAAGTATTAAATGCATCCTAAAAACCACCCATTTTCAAGAGACGTGAGAAACAGCTATGAAACAAAACTACACATCAAACATTCACAACAAAAACACTAAAAGTTCAAGAAGGGAAACACAGAAAAGGTACAAAAACAAATTTCTCAAGTATTTTTGTTGTGAAGGTTTAATGCTTTTCGCTATCTTTGTAGAGTTCTGCTGTGAAGGTTTAGGGGCCGTTTACTAAACGCTTACCCAGGTAAGCGCTTACCAAGTCACATTACCTTACCGAATGAATATGACAAGAACCAAAAATCTTACCCGATAAGAACGAAGACAAGAACCGGGAGTCTTACCCGGTAAGTGATGGTAATGACTCTTACCAAGGTTACCGCTTACCGGGTAAATTGTTGTATATGATGTCATGTTAGTGGATTAAAATCTTACCCGATAAGTATATAATAGTATTGAATTTTATTGATAAACACTTACCGAATAAGTGTTTGGTAAACGGCCCTTAGTGTTTTTTTAACCGGTCCCATTCTAAAAGATTTATGAAAAGTAATTTATTTCATGCCAACTTCAATAAAATAATGGGATAATAAAGATTTAAAAGAAGCAATCTTTTTGGTGTCAAGAACACAAAGAACTCAGAACACAGAACCTAACTTAATTCCTAAAACTACATACACATATCTTCAAATCTCAAGGACAAGATCAGGTCTTGCTTGATTTGATCGCTTCGGTCGTAAGCCCGTATCCGAATGGGTACAATGGATCGTAATGTGGATCACCAACGTTCATCGGGAGCTGATCAACCGTCTTGAACCAGGTCCTCGCAAGTTTGCCCGTAAAACCATAATCACCATACAGAACATCAGCAACGCCTTGGCCTTCGGTTCCCGGAAGCCAAGCCGCCACCAGTGCATCCATGCTAGAAACATACGGTTCAAGCACAACCGGTCGTCCTGAAATCAGCACAACAACGCACCTCACCGCCCCACATACATTTGTGATTGTGGTCGGGCCTGGATCAGGAATCGTTAGATTCAAACTGTCTCCAACCGTCTCTGAGTATGGGTACTCGCCAGTTACAACGATGGCGTACGAGAAATTATTGGACTTTATAAATTCAGGAGTCGGGTTTTCTTGATACACGACTTCGGTTGTCGAGTCGACTGTGTTCTTTACGGCCGATAGAATTGTGGTACCTGAGAAATTTGCAAAAGAGAATACGAATATATCGTATTTCATGTTTCATACGTTGTTATATATTGCTGGACCCTGATAGACTAGTCATGTCGGTAAAAACTAGTTGATAAGCAACATAACAACGTAATAACCTAAAAGGACATGTTGAAAAATTAATTGGAAAAATGTAAGGGGCATAACTGAAAAAAAGCCTTGAGCTTATTGAAACGCTAATTGAAACAACTAGCTTATGGCTAACCAAACAAAGCTTTTTCAATAAGCTCAAAAATAAGCTACCCCTAATTATAGAACACAGAGTACGTACCCGGTGTGATATTTCCGCTTTGGCCGTGCCACTCGATGGTCCAGCCACCGCACTGGTTACCGATGTCGTTGGCATGAGTACCTGAAACTAGTATTTTGGTCGATTTTTTCGGGAGGGGAAGAAGGGGCGTGTTGCCGGACTTCCCGTTCTTCAGCAAGACTAGCGATTTTCTTACGGCTTCCCTAGCCAGGTCTCTGTGCTCCTGATGTACAACGGATTTTTAAGTTAGAACGAGCAGTTAAAAACACGGTCTAGTTTCCAGCATACGTAATACCGACCTGAATTCCAAGGTATTTAGCCATGCTGAGATCTGCCAACGGGTTCTCAAACAGACCCATCACGAACTTCACCCTTAAAATCCTCCTAACTGCATCATCGATTCGACTCATCGGGATGAACTTATTCTTCGCTAAATAAGTCAACCCAACGATGAATTCTGTATAGTTGTAAGGTACCATGATCTGCAATGGTATCGACTCAATCAAACGGCATAATCCAAGTCTTGCACTACAACAAAATCGGTCTTATAAGACGGTCAAATGTGTCGTTATAATAGACTGAGAAGTGTTCTATTTACATTTTAAAAAATTTACGACACTTTTACGTTGGACGTACAATTTTGTGGTCTTACAAACTTAAATCATGGGGTAATGCAGTCTATTATGACATTTAGACATATTTGACGTCCTATAAAGCCGATTTTGTTGTAGTGTTGTGACTCATTCTTAAATCATTTCGAATTTGAGTACATCAAACAAAGAAACTAACCATATCAAGGCCAGCCTCGACACTCTTTAGTATCGACCAAGTGTAGTTAGCGTGAGGCGGATCCGTCAATCGATCGATACCTTGCCAATCCGAAATAACGAACCCCTGAAAATCCACGAAAAAACATCACAAGATCCGATCATGGTTGCGTCAATCTAAATTTGAACACAAACTACTTGGAAAATATCGGGTTTACTCTGAATTTGACAGTGTTTTTCAAGAAGTAAGTGATGAGTTCCTGATCTCCATGCATTTTAACTCCATTCAAGCTCGAGTAGGAGATCATGATCGTTGCAACGCCTTTGAGTACCGAATCGTAGTATGCCGGCATATGAATGCTGAATAATCCGTGCTGGCTTATGACGGTGTTGTTTTCATTGATGCCTTTCGTTGTGCCACCATCACCGACGAAGTGTTTGGCACACGCCGCTACCTTTTCTCTGTGAAAAACAAGGGGGAAAAAGCCGAATTAAAGGCGATAACATGTCGGTATGACCGAATTATGATTATGTTTATGTGCAAAATATCGAAAGCGATGTGATGGGCTTACTGTCCGCCAACAAAAGGGACGCCTTTTTCGCTATTAGTAGGAATATCTCCCTGTAGTCCAGGTATAAGCTCGGTCATGGCGCGAACAATTGTGGGATCTTCACTATAGCTTTCGAAGCAACGACCCCATCTTGGATCTCGACAAACCTGTGAATAGGTTAATGAAAGAAAGGATTTTGATTTGTTTTTCGCTATTCATTAGTGAATACTTTCTCGGTTCGATTCATATGATGCAAGTAGAATGAAAATGTGATAATTTACCGCGATACAAGGTGCAAATGCATAGTTAATTCCCGTTGCTCTGACTTCGAGAGCAGTTGCAACTCCGATTTTTTTGACGAGCTCAGGATCCCTATATTATCATTTCAAAGCATAAGAAATCACACGATCGTAGTACAATGCATAGTCCATCGAAGTAAGAACTATTCACTCTGCTTTTGGTATGTGGACGGGATGGGACTGGAGGGTGAGAGTGAGGTAGGCGGGTGAAAGGACCAGAATCTCTGAGCATTTTAACCTCACATGGGTATTTTAGTAATTTTACCACTTTTTCCCATCTCCCCAAATTTTGTTCCTCCTATTTTGGCGGGACAGAAAAAATTGCAGTTTCGTCCCACTCAAGTCATGTCCTAGTCTGATGTCACGTCAAACGAAGTACTGTCTGGTTCCATGTACCAAACACACCATCAAACACATGGTTTCACAAGATCGTTAGCATTCAACTATTTGTCAAATATCCAACATCCCCTTCAATACCATCTACGTTTTTAACGGTTACAAAGGGCAAATATGTAATTTTAACTTCAAAACTTTCCAATTTTCTCATCTTTTTGTTCTCAAAATCAAAATTCTTGCAATTTCCATGAGAGTAAACTTGCCTTGTTACACCAAGACCAACGTTATGAGGAAAGATGGTGGCATTGTAGACATTGTTGTTGCCATGGACAGCATCAATCCCGTAAATCATCGGTATCCCTAAACGAGAAGCCAACGACCCTTTTTGAAACTCGTTTACCATATTAATCCATGTCTCCGGGGAAGCCCTGTTGGCCGGAACACTCCCTCCACCGCTCAATATACTCCCTGCCCATAATCCAACACTCTTATAAACAACAGGAAAACATCATAAACCTGAAATCTTGAATCAAAATGACGGAAAACACAAGTGAGATTTCGTTTGATTACCAATGGAGTATTTCTGCATTACATCAGGTGAAGCTACAGATCTGTCGATCTGTGTCATTTGGCCGATTTTCTCCTCCAAAGTCATTCGTTCCATCAAATCCTTTATTCGAACATTTATGGGTTGTTTCGGGTCTTTATATTTCATGCTTTCTGCTGCAGACATAGCAGTCCAACAACAGATCACAAGCATCACCAAACCAAATGGTGAACGTTTCGCCATTTTAAAACCGCCTTCGATAGCGATCTACAACAATTCATATAAACACGACAATCAGAAAACAAACCATCAGCAAGTGATTCAAGTTTCTTGCAATTTAGCCAAACTTAGAAGCTAAATACCAATCAGAAAACACAAATCTTTAGAACATTTGGGAATCAAATTAGAAATCATCGGTCATTAAATTAAGGGCCTGCTTGTTAGCGGCTTAATCAGTTTAAAAACCTGCTTCTTCCACTTATGAAGAAACCCTCCCAAACAAAAAACTTCCCATTCTATACAGAAAACTTTATCCATACAGAACTTAATGGAAAACCAACACCACCCGCATACCCTTTTGAAGAAAGGGGAATGTTTGTCTTTTTGGCTCTAAACAACTAATATTCAATGCCAAAAGTCATATGAACTCCAAGACTTCTAGAATCTATGCCAACCTCCATTAAATATATACAAATCCCACCTGTAATCACACTTTTATCAAAGATTTTGATTATTAGTTCATTGTCTACAAAACCCTTTACAGAACATGAAAAATCTTGGAGACCCAATCAAACAAGATCAAAAATTTATAAAGAAAACAACCAGAAAATACGTAATTAACATCGAAACAACAATGCTGTATTTGAACTTAAACTCAATCTTGACGACACAGACATGGAGATATCGACAAACGAAGTAAAAAAAAAAAAAAGGTCTGATTGATTAAGTGGCGTAACAATGCAGTAGATCAGATAAAGAATCAGAGCAAACCATCATCATCATCGTCAACAAAATCATACATTCTGTAGATCACAGCAAAACCCCCACAAAACCCCAGAAGTTAAAACAGCAAAAAACACAAAACAATTGGGAATCATCAAAGTAAAACAAGAAACCCTCAAAATGGACGTAAGAAGGTTTAAGAATCAAGATTAGAGCTTACAGAGAAATGGAGCTTGAGGGGTATCGAGATTTGAAGAATGTGGGCAACGGTAGGGTGATTTTTATAGGGAATTGGGTGTGTATTTGGGGTTTTGAAATGAAGGGATTAGTCGGGATCGAGGGGGATTAAAGTTTGTTTAATATTTTTGAACGGATGTTTAACGTTTAATCCTTGACATTAAGTCCCATAATGATGATGATTACAACTCCTATCAAACAAATTTCGTTTCAAATTATTTTCTTGAAATCGTATAATTTGCTACATGAATTATTAATGGTTTTTGATGGGTTATCATGCTTATATGGCGAGCGATGTGGTATCCGGTTAATTCTTCAGCAAATAATACTGAGTTGGATACCATATCGCTCATTACCTCAGCATGATAACCAGTTAATGATTTAACCGGTTGTTCAGGTATTTAAATGTGTAAAACTTTATATCTTATGTATCAAAATTGAAGTTTTGAAAGTATATTACTCAAAATAGGAATGAAGTTAAAGTACGTTACTTTTTCATGCAATTTGTCCGTAATTTAATAGATTTGAAGGTCATGTGATTGATATATCTGTTTTTTCAATAAATTTTAGTAATCAAACCCGTTTCGACTTGTTGTCGAAAAGATTGTGACCATAATATTGGATTGTTTGAAGGGAACTAACACGGGCATGTCTTGCATTGATGCAAAGATCGCCTTGCCTTCCAAGAAGGAAGGAGTCTCCAAGACGACATAATTAGCCAACGATACTCATAACATAATCTAATCAACTAAAATTGTGTTTTAATGCACGAATAAAACGAAACTTAAGTTAACGATGGTTTCTATATTGATACAGTAACACGACCATTTTCTCTTGGCAAGGGAAGACAAAAATCTCTAAACTCGAATCAAGCACATGGGTATGCATTATTGTTTTATCTTTGATGTTTGTGTTTGTTCTTTTTGGGAATACTTTTTTCAGTTTCTCCCAAAATCCAAAACGAAATTCAAGATTTTAGCATACCGTGTAAGTGAATACGACGTATGTCGAAGACTTCTATTTTCGCTTTCCGCCCAAAATTTAAACTTTAAACAACAGACTTGTCTTTTAGATCTTGATGTATTTAATAAAAAAATCGTCGATGAAGACAAGACAATAATGATATTGGAGAATTAATCAACATATATATCACAAACTCATCTTGGTCAACCACAAGGATGGTGCCTGATTGGTTTGAGTTTGGCTCCAAATGTCAAAAGTACCAAGAGGTCTCAAATTCAAATCCAATGAGGGTTAAAAATTCCCTTGTGGTCACGGAGGTTGGTGACTCCGGGCTATCTGCAAAGCAGGTGGTCGTCCAGGGATTAGTCGTCCTGGGATTAGTCGGCTTGCATAGCAGGTTGGATATCCAGGTTAATTAAAAAAAGAAAAAATTCATCTTGGTCAAGTTGTGTGAATCTGACGTTTTCCACATAGTTTTGAAGGTCTTTTATCTGGATTCGTATTTATTTAAACTACATTTTATTTGTAAGTTGATTTTTTTTTTGAGTTGCAAAAAGCTCGATCTCGTTTATTATTTACATTGATTGCATTCATTCCTCATCTTCATTGGGTCGTTAACCCATATTTTGAGTTTCCATGAACTCCAGAGTGTCGATACTGATGGATACAAATATGCAATCAATAATAGCGTGACAGTAATGTATGAGTATGGACTTCGGATCATGTGAGACCCGTTTGTTTTCGTGAGACCAATTTTTTACACTTGAAAACTTCACAGCAGAACACTGTGAAAGTAACTTTCACGGTGTTTTTGCTGTAAAGGTTCAGATTGTTTTTACCTTCATAATATTTTGCTGTGAAGTTTTAAGTATAAAAATATAATCTTACGGATCTCATAAAAACATGTTAGTCTCACATGAACCCAACCCTATGAGTATAATAATATTGTTTACATATATAAAGCTTGACTGATATTTTTTTTTTCTAAGGGAAATGAAACCATTCAAAGATGGATGTTGTTTAATTTTTTTCTTGTAAACAAATATATATTGTTTATCTATACTAACTATATTATAAAACATTTGACAAAAACTCTTAAAATCATTTTTTGTGCATAAAGTACTGTTTATTAATGCATATTATTTAAAACTCAATATTGCAAATAGATTGTGTGTAAGTACAACTTATTAAAGCTCCATATCTGAATTCGTATAACTAACTGCAGATAAACATARTYAAATACAGGATAAACATATCATTTTAAGTATAAAAAATCTAAAATATAATTACGATAATCATTGAATTGTAACATGATACTTAATTATTATCTTTATAAGAAAATTATATTATTAAACCAAATATAAATTACTCCATTATTGAACCTAAATTAAATTTTAATAAAAATTTGAATTAAAAAAATACACAAAAATAGGAATTTTAAATAGTTAATTTGATGCTAATATCGATATATTTTTGTCAATTTTTTATGATATTTTCAAATTTATATTTTATTCAAAAATACAAACATCATCATTTTTTCAAAATCACATAAGACCATACTATAACATCGACTGAGATAAAGAATAAAATAAAATATTAAAATCAAGATGTATCTCGTTACATTGTACGAGTACCCTTATCTATACTATATTATAAAGCATTTGATAAAAACATTTAAAAACCACTTTTTATGCGTAAATTACTGTTTATTAATGCATATTACTTAAAACTCAACTAGAATGGTACTTGCGCAATGCAGCGAGATACATCTCGATTTTAATGTTATATTTTATTTTTTTTGTCTCTATTGATGTTATAATATGGTTTTATGTGTTTTTTTTTAAATATTTTATTTTTGAATAAAATATAAATTTGAAGATATCATAAATATTTGAAAAAAAAAAATATCAATGTTAATATCAAATCAACTATTTAAAAGTTCTCATTTTTATGTAATTTCTTTAAAAAAATTATAATAATTTAATTTAAGTTTGATATTGAAAGAATTTATTTTTAGTTTAATAATATAATATTTTATAAATATAATAATTAAGTATTCTGTTAGAACTCAATGATTATTCTAATTAATATTTTAGATTTTTTATATTTAAAATGTGATATTTATCCTATATTTGTTTATGTTTATCTGTAGTTAGTTACACGAATTCGGAAATGGAGCTTTAATAAATTGTACTTATGCACAATCTACTTGTAATCTTGAGTTTTAAGTAACATGCATTAATAAACAGTATTTTATGCATAAAAACGATTTTTAAGAGTTTTTATCAAATGCTTTATAATATAGTATAGATATTACAAATAAATTGTGCGTAAGTACAACTTATTAAAGCTCCATATCTAAATTCGTGTAACTAACTGCAGATAAACATAATCAAATACAAGATAAACATCTTATTTTAAATATAAAATATAATTAGAATAATCATTAAGTTATAACATAACACTTAATTATTATCTTTATAAAATGTTATATTATTAAACCAAAAATAAATTATTTCATTATTAAACTTAAATTA